ACTGGACGTAGGGCCTCGATTGCTCGAACCAAGATAAACCTTGTGTCTCTTTGCGCCACCATCCGGGATTAGGGACACGCAAAGACACAAATTCACTCGTCGGTTGAGGGACCCCGGTTCCAAAACACCGACAAATGGTGTTGGTGCCCTTCTTTTGAAGAGAAAAAATGTGATTTCCCTCATTTTTCCAACTGTGATATTTCCAACAATGCTTTGGGTTTGAAAACGCAAAGGGCAAAATCACAAATTCACAATCGACCTTCAAAAGCAGGGGCACTAGCACTATAAAATGGCCTTCAAACAAAATGACTGGATGGTGACATTTGACAGGATTGCTTAAGTTTGTACTTTTACTGTTAATGCCATAAATACTATATGACTGAAGCACTTGATCAACAGCAGTTTAATGCGCCGCTTGTCGTTTAAGAATTTCATTAGTACAGAAAGTACTTAAAATATATTCTACCTTTTTTCTGGAATCAGGAGGGGGTGATCCTCTACTGCTTTATTAAAAGGACAGTTTCACCAGAGAGGACTAGCAAACCAAAAAGGAAACAAAGAAAATAAAGAAGATTACAATTGGGCTTCTAGTGGTTCTCCTACTGCTTAATTGAATATGTTCTACTTGTTCTAGTGGTTCTCCTGCTTACCAAGTTCGTATCATAATTCCCTAGAAACTTTAAGTTGGACTTATGGTGGAAGCTTTTGTTCAATCGGTCTCATCCTGCATTGGGTGAGATCAGCTGGATCTGAATATATGATGTTACTATAATATTAGCCTAAAAATGCTGGTTTATGTTTTTGAACACAAGACAAAAGGGAAGATCCTTCTAGTAAGGTAAATTGACCTGCAAGCTGGTGTCTGTTGTGAAATTCAGTTCCCACTTTGGGGGAACAAAAGGTTTATACTGTCTGATTATTCGAAATCCAAATGACTTAAACATACTACAATGGTAGCTAATCGTTAATTAGCAGTGATCTCAATATGACTTCTCACGCCAAGATATTAGTGCTGTGTTCACATGGAAAGCTGCTTTCTTTTCTGTCACTCTAATAAGAGGCATCCTCTGTAGGTGCTACTGCTATTGTTAAATGTCCACCGGCAAAGCGTGTATTATTGCTGTTGTACATCTGAATAATTATCTTTGAATGTTTATGGAAAGATATACAGATTTCCCACGTATTCTAGAACACAATACGAACGGTTGCGTTGAAAGGTAAATCGTCTCGTAATGTGTTGCCGCCATCTGATGTACAGTGCATCAAGAATACCATTGCTGCTTATTTTGGAAACCGTGTAGTCATTTCCTGATGCTAAATGAAGATTGTAGTCTCAAAAAAAGGAAAAAAAGGGGGTTGAATTGTGTCTCATAAGCATACAGTGTTTGCCTGGTGAACATGACTAGAACAGTGACCAGTCCGTTGTCTCTGTTCGCTTATTGATAAGTCATAGCTATTGGCTGATTTGTTGGAAGAGAAAATATTGTTCATTGATTGAAAAAGTACAGTTTATAAGCCAAACGAATCTGACGCATCTTGACGTAATCAATCTTCCTGATTTGAGGGGATTGCTTGTTAGTATGGGGAAATTTGCTTGAGCAGACTAATTTAAAACAACCTACGCAAGTATGAGTTGGCACTGAATTCTTATTACACAGTTGACACACTTTTAAATTGTTCTTTTGCTGTCATGCAGGAGAACGGAAATAATTTCAGAGAGTCCATTTGTATAACGGCGTGTTTAGTTCCCATCCAAATTCCCAAAAAGTGCTACAATAGTTATCACGTCGAATCTTACGATACGTGCATGGAGCATTAAATGTAGACGAAAAAAAACTAATTGCACAGTTTGGTTGGAAATTGCGAGATTTAACGTTTTGAGCCTAATTAGTCCATGATTGAACACTAATTGCTAAATAAAACGAAAGTGCTACAAGAGCCATCACATCGAATCTTACGATACGTGCATGGAGCATTAAATGTGAGACGAAAAAAAACTAATTGCATAGTTTGGTTGGAAATTGCGAGACTAACGTTTGAAACCTAATTAGTCCATGATTGAACACTAATTGCCAAATAAACCCTAAACGCTAAAGAGAACAAGAAGCATCGTGGAATTCGGGCTGATGCTTCGATGAGCAATGGATAATCTGAAATATGATAAGGCCCGTTTGGAACGAAGAAAAAACGGAGGAAAAGTGAAGGATTGAGTTCGGAGGAAAGGATCGTCTGCGCGTTTGGAACAAAGAAAGCGGCACGAACCTTTCCGGAAGAACGGCAACGAAGCTTGTACTTTTGGAGGAAAGAAAAATGAGGTCAGATCAAGGAAAATTTCCTGACGGTGCTTGCGCCACGCTTAGCGCACTAAAACCAATCTTTGCCCCTACAATTTTCCTCTTTCACAGCACTGCAAGCAACCACCTTGGAACGAATCAAGTATCACCGTGCATCGCCGGAACAAATGTGTAGGACGTGCAACGGCTATGGCTAAGCAGTCGAGGCGGTGCACGCAGCTAGCGGCGTGCAGGGGCAGCAGCAGCATGGGCGGAGGACGTCGTTGTGTTGCAGCGCTTGGCGCCGCGGAGGCTGGAGCATCGGCCGTCCAACCAAGCGACCAGAAAGGCACAAAGAATGGCGATTGGAAGATGAACAGCGGCACGGCAGCTAGACGCACGGATAAGGCTTGAGCAAATTAATAAACAAGTCCCTGTGTTCTCTTTATTTTATATTTTTCATCAGGCACAACTTAATTAAACTGGATCCACACGGTTGCCGTAATTGATTTGTAAAATCCTGTGTTATAATTCCTACGATCCAAACACCCCTATCTATATCTTTCCTGTGTTTTCTCATTCCTCTGTTTTTCCACAACACCTACACCCCATTCCTGCGGTTTTTTCCTTTTCTCTATTTTGCATTCGTTAGGCCTAGGTTTACAGGTGTATGCGGTGACCTAACCTGATCAATCATTATGCGTCTTAAGGTACAGTACGTTTTACTCCTGAGAGCAACCTTACTGTAAGAACTAGTTGAACATGCTGTAGATTTTGTCAGTGACAGGGGTTTTCAGAGTCCATTCGCAAAGAGTAGTTTTTCAAAGATCAGTGCTAAAACTATACGGTCAAATCTTGTGCTCAGCAAAACTACCCTTTTATATAAAGTAACATGCCGGACCTGTAGGCTATAGCTGTGCTTTAGAATTATAACAGGAAAATGGGTAAGGCCTCGTTTAGATTGTAAATTTTTGTAATCTGGACATCATAGCACGTTTCGCTTGTATTTTACAAACTTTGTCCGATTATGGATTAACTAGGCTCAAAAGATTCGTCTCGTGATTTACAATCAAACTGTGTAATTAGTTATTTTTTTACCTACATTTAATGCTCCATATATGCGTCCAAAAATTGATGTGATGGAGAGAGAGTGAAAAAACTTGAAATTTGAAGGTGATCTAATCAAGGCCTAAGCTCTGCTAAAATATACTGGTACTCTGGTAGTGTGAAAACGGCGTCTGACAATGCTTTGTATACAACTGTTGCTGTTGTCGTGCGCACCACTAATAGAGGCTAACACATAGATTAGCAAATGTTGACCAATGAAGGCTAACACATAGATTAGTAAATGTTGAGACTACTATATACACAATGCAAACAATTATTACTTGTGGTTTGTAAAAAACTTTTTCTTTCATCATACAGCACCTTTATTTCCTCTCTTTCTTCTTTTTTAGCATGGATTACCTTCTCTCTCCCCAAACACTCTTTTTAGCTTTTTGCAAACCACTATAATAAGTATAGAGCACATATTTTTTTTTATCAATCCTACGTGTTATTTGGGGTTACTAGTAAAAAAAGCAGCTTTGGGAAAGCCCTAATAAATGATATGAAAGCTTAGGAATCTGGATAAGCAAGCATCGGTAATAACACATAAATACAGTTCAAAACGGAGGAAGAAGTGTCCATTTATACCGTGGAGTCCAAACTGCCCATTTGTCCCCGGCGCACCCCCATCTCCGCAGTCCTTCCGCAACACACCACCCTTCTTCCCCTGCGGCTCTGCACCTCTGCCACTCTTCTCTTCTTCCTCCTGCAGGCTGCAGGCCAGCACATGACGACGGGGCCTTTGGCGCCGTGGCGGCCGCGCCACAACCACGACGAGCCTCGCGCTCCTCCTGCTGCTCGCGTGCGTCGCCGTCTGCTCCATCCCGGCGGTGCTCGCCCAGGCCACGACGTCCACCAGCACCGTCGCCGGCAGGGACTTCACCACCTTCTCCTTCCCCGGGTTCGACAAGAACCCCGCCAACCTGACGCTCTCGAGCAACGCCAGCGTCAGCCAGAACGCGCTGCAGATCACCCCCGACACGGGCAACAACGCCACGAGCTTCCTAGTCAACCAGTCAGGTCACGTCTTCTACGCCACGCCGTTCGTGCTCTGGGCCGCCAACGCGTCCAACTCCACCGCCGACGGCCGCCACGTCGCGTCCTTCTCCACGGTGTTCAAGGTCAATCTCTACCGCCAGAACAAGTCCGTCAAGGGCGAAGGGTTTGCGTTCGTTGTCGCGTCCGGCAACGATGGCCCGCCCCGGCAGCTACGGCGAGTACCTCGGCCTCACCAACGCGTCCACCGACGGTAACGCCACCAACGGGTTCGTGGCCGTGGAGCTGGACACGGTGAAGCAGTCCTACGACCCCGACGATAACCACGTCGGGCTCGACCTCAACGGCGTCCACTCGATCTCCGCCATCCCGCTCGCTCCCTACGGCATCCAGCTCGCTCCCAATGACAGTAGTAGCTCCGGCGACTACATGGTCTGGATCGACTACAACGGCACCACGCGGCATGTGTGGGTGTACATGTCCGCGGACAATACCAAGCCGGACACCGCTGTGCTCAACGTGTCGCTGGACCTCTCCAAGTACCTCCTCAGCAACAAGGGCTATTTCGGCTTCTCGGCGTCCACCGGCGTGGACTACCAGCTCAACTGCGTGCTCATGTGGAACATGACGGTGGAAGTGCTCCACGGAGAAAGCGTCCCCAAGAAGCTGTCGGGCTGGAAGCTCGGGCTGGCCATCGGCGTGCCGTGCGCCGCCGCGCTGGCGTTCGGGCTGCTCGCGGGCCTCTACTTGATGAAGAAGAAGCGGAAGAAGCAGGTCGGGGACGACCCGAGCTCGGTAGTGTTCCACAACGCCATTGATCTGAGGAGCATCCCGGGCGTGCCCAAGGAGTTCGACTACAAGGAGCTGAGGAAAGGGACCAACAGCTTCGACGACAAGATGAAGCTGGGGCAGGGCGGGTACGGCGTGGTGTTCCGCGCCACCGTGCCCGGGGACAACGGCCAGAGCATGGAGGTGGCCGTGAAACAGTTCTCCGGCGCCAACACCAAGGGGCAGGAGGACTTCCTCGCCGAGCTCAGCATCATCAACCGCCTCCGCCACCGGAATCTCGTCAAGCTCGTCGGTAAGAAACTCTTTTGTCCTGCCTTTCCTGCTCATTACATTATTATACATCGTATTATATTTTGCTTATATGAACTTCTTATTATTATCAACTTCGTCTACTCTGCCGTGGCCGTTCTTATCGACAGTAATGTCAAAATTAGTTGGATTTATTTGATATAGATAGTTCACAAAATATCTGATTTAATATTCCACCAAGCACTTCACTGCAAACGCCAATCCAAACTAGAATATCAGCACGGGGCTTGGTACAGAGACAGCTCCGCTTTGATTTCTTGCTGTGGACGGTTCAGCGAGATGCTTTCCCCGGGGTTCAGGTCGTACCCGGAATAGAGAATTAGAGACAACAGCTTAGTCGTAAATTGCAGCGCTTTATCCCTGTCGTTGTTACATCCTCAACAACCATTTCCTGGATGGTTGCGTCAATGGAAATGTTGGAAATGAAATGCTTCCAGGCTGTCGGATATGTCAAACGCAACCTGTAAAATGTCAGATTTTTCGTACGGCACCAATGGAGAGATAGCTATCCAGAGAGCGACTATTCAACCCTCATTAGTCTACGTTTATAAGATTTCAAGCCAACCGAAACATGCTCTCGTTATATTAAGAATAAAGAATGTTTAGAATCGTACGGCCCAGTTGGCGCCTAGTCACAAAAATCAAACTAGGACTAGTTTGTGGTGATGGTTTTGGCTGTATATTATTTTTGTTTGGGCTCTGTGATCACGGTTGGATCGTGAGCAGTGTACCCGGCCGGATAGCATTTTGACAACACAAATTTTGACCTGGCTTGCTTCCCACTTGCTCGAGAAAAAATATTTGGTAGTTGTTGAACAATATGCCAAGCAAACACTCACCGACTCTAGTGACCTGGAAATGCTGAACAACCACAGAAGCACAATCGCGGAAGGGGGAAATAAATACGTTTTAGTTCATTTCCATCCTTCACGTTTCGAAATCGAAATGAGTAAAACAAGCTTCTGAAACCCAACGAAGTAATCTGAAATTGGAATGCCACGTTTTGTTGCAGGCTGGTGCCATCAGGACGGCGTGCTGCTGCTGGTGTACGACTACATGCCACACGGCAGCCTCGACAGGCACCTCTTCGGCGGCAAGGACGCGCCGACGCTGGACTGGAAGCAGCGCTACAACGTCGTCGCCGGCGTGGCGTCGGCGCTCAACTACCTCCACCACGAGTTCGAGCAGACGGTGATCCACCGCGACATCAAGCCGTCCAACATCATGCTGGACTCGTCGTTCCAGGCCCGGCTCGGCGACTTCGGCCTGGCGCGCGCGCTCGAGTCCGACAAGACCTCCTACACGGACAAGATCGGCGTGCCGGGCACGCTCGGCTACATCGCGCCTGAGTGCTTCCACACGGGGCGGGCCACGCGCGAGTCGGACGTGTTCGGCTTCGGCGCCGTCATCCTGGAGATCGTCTGCGGCCGCCGCATCTCCTGCAGCAACCCGGCCGGGTGCAGCCAGCTGCTGGAGTGGGTGTGGAAGCTCCACGGCGCCGGCCGCGTCCTGGAGGCCGTGGACCCGCGGCTCGCCGGCGGGTACGACGAGGAGGAGGCCGAGCGGCTGCTGCTGCTGGGCCTGGCGTGCAGCCACCCGAACCCGCGGCAGCGGCCCAAGGCGCAGGCTATCTTGCAGAACCTGCAGACGCGGTCCGTGCCACCGCTCCCCGTGCCCATGTCCAAGCCCGTGTTCATGTGGCCTGTGCCGCTCGCCGACGGGGAGGAGGACGAGACGCAGACGTACATGTCGCACAGCGGGTCACTAGCTCTGACGTGACCTCGTCGTCGAACTACCCCTACACGTGGTCGTCGGGGTATACCACCCAGACATTCCAGGTGAGCAGGGAGGCGCACGACGCGGCGGGGAGGGACGTGTCGACCGTTTGAGTGAGACGGGATCGAGCTCAGCATTGCAGCCGCCGGCAGGACGGGTCAACGACGGTGGTGCACGTGGGCAAGTGGAGCCCGGACCAGGCGGATTTCGGGCTTTCATCAAGAGTCAAAAGGCCGCCCATGGAGCTTGTGGACCCGTGGGTAATGAATCGGACAAAATAAAGACGTCAACAAAGTGCACGCGAAAACGCGGACTAGGTTTTCGTCGTTGGAGAAGATTTCCATTGCAGCATTGAGTGAGTAGCGTAGTGGGTCCTTTTTCTGCAGCTGTTGCTTGGTTTGCTTCGCTATCGGAAACAACAGATTTGTCGAGTGCAAAAATGTTTACCGAATGTATTCTATCAGACACTCGGCAAACAAGCTCTTTGTCGAGTGCTGCAAAAAACACACTCAGCAAAATAATGGCACTCGGCAAACAAACTCTTTGCTGAGTGCTGAAAAAAAAACACTCGTCAAATTAGGAAAAAACACTCGGCAACAAACCGCCATGTGGACATCCATCGGTTAGTGTGCCTGCCGTTAGGAGTTTGCCGAGTGTCCATTAGTAGCATTCGGCAAAGAAATAAATTTACCGAGTGTTTTTTTTGTGCACTCGGCAAAGAAACAAGTTTGCCGAGTGTTTTTTTTGGCAATCAACAAATAATTAAGTTTTTTTTTCTCTTCTGACCTTAAAACTTTTTCGACTCTCCACATACAACATGTGGTACTCCATGTTAAGATTTGATATATTTCTGGATCTGTTTACTATATTTAATTAATGTATTGCATTTCAAGAATTTTTTTTTGTATAAGTCAAATTTGAATTGCAAGTGATTCAAATAATAGAATAAAATGAATAGAAAAATGATATTCATGTTATTGAGTCCAGTGTGAGGCCTTACCCAATAAATGAAAAGAAATTTCAAACATCTTGTTCAGGAAACACGACCACGAACGTGTGGCCGAATGATTTTTAAATTCTAAAAAAAACAAACGAAGTATGAAATTCCTAGAAAAATCAAATATATATTGTTGAGTGAATTTGACCAGGTATTTTCAAAGTACATCGGAACAAATTTAGAAAAAACACGTTATGAAAAAGAAGGAGAAGAAGAAAAAAATAGGTTTGTTGAGTGCCTCTTGTCTGGCACTCGACAAATCTGTAGTTTGCCGAGTGTCAGACCTGAGACACTCGGCAAACCCCCTAACCACGTCAGCGATCCGTGTCTCCAAAATAGAGCCCTCCCATTGGCCAAAATTCCTCTCCCTGGATCCCTCCCCTCTTATCCCTTCCCTATCCCCCTCTCTATCTCCTTATCCATTCCGGCGCCCGTGGCGGGCGGGGCGGTGCGGGTCGACCAGGGCACACGGGCGACGGGCGGCGCGGCGCGGCACTCCGGCGGTCGTGGCGGGCCGTGGGCGGCGCGGCACTCCGACGGCGGTGGCGGGCGGGGCGGCGCGGGTCGGTCGGGGCACGTGGGCGTCGGGCTTTTTTTATTTTCACAAAAATATCCGTCGAGTGTCAGGTCCTGGACACTCGGCAAAGACGGGCATATTTGCCGAGTGTCAGGGCCGGGCACTCGGCAAACAAGGTCATGTTTGCCGAGTGCCGCGGCTGTTAGACACTCGGCAAACACGCCGTGACCGTCTCCGCGCCGTCACGTTACTTTTTTTTGCCGAGCATTGGTTTCAGCATTCGGCAACGTCTTTGCCGACTACCCGATAAAAAACACTCGGCAAATAAACTTTTGCCGTCACTGTGTACGCCGAGTGCCGTTTGCCGAGTGTTTTTTTTTTTGCTTCGTCGTGTGCCGTGGACACACGGCAAACCTGGGTATTCCGGTAGTGCTTCTTGGAAACCAACTGAATGTAAATACATCTCTGTGTTCACTTCGTCGGGCATTTTTACCTTTGGTGACCTGTTATGTGCAGTAATATCTCAGTTTAATGGTCGTGTTGATTTCTTAAATGTGCATTGCAGTAGTTATGGTGTAGATCCGAAGTATCATAAGAGCCAATAGTTAGACAAGGATTATAATGCTGCCGATTGAGCATTCAGCAGAGCGTGCATCAACCCAGTGAGCCACTCTGCATTCCTCCTACAATTCCCAAACGGCCGATTGCTGCGAGATACATTCTCTGATCGGTCAATGGTTGTAAACGGCACAGATGGGCCTAGCCGGGCTGATGGTCTACGAGCACAAAACGAGGCCATTGATAGAAAAGATCGGCCACACACTAGCAATAGCTAGATAGTTCGAGTCACTATGGATTCAAGAACACAGCATATAACTACCATGCTTTTGTAGTGAAGAGCAGTTAGTTTTACAAGTAAATCAACAAAGGATAATAAATCATGCTTATGTGATGAAGAATAGTAGTTTTCGGACAAACTAGCAAAGAAATCGTCAATTCTTGCCCGAGACGGACCCCAACGGCAGGTTGCTCTATGTCGGCCAGCAAGTATAATCTCGGGTAAGAGTCAAGAGATAAATAACAACATGGGGTTGAAAAGGTGAGGCAAAGGAGAGGTAGTAAATTTATTTTCGTCAATTGAATGTTAGATACCGTCATGTACCCCATATTTTATATTGAGTGAGCATGGTCTTATCCTGTTAGAAACCGATATGGTGCTATTTTCCTGTTGTTTCTTAGAGTTTTCTTTTTAAATTAGGCTAATACTAACATAGCCCGATTTTAAACTAGCATGGGTCTAATTTAAATGTCAACATAGGCCTATATATTGTTGAATTCCGCGAGGATTATTCCATGCTGTCTTGTTCGGCTGGACAGGTTCACGGTAATCTTCTCCATTGAGCCAGTTGATAGCCTCCTCTCCATCTGATCAAATTAGACGATGCCAAACAATCCACGTGATCGCTTCGCATCCAATGCAAGGCGGCGCAGGCTCGTGCTTGCGCGATTTGGTGCACGCGATGCAGCCTCCGGCTTGGCGCCGGACAGGATATAGGCCGTGTTTGGGACGGCGTTGGATCGCGGTTGAGCGAGAAGAGGAATAATCCTGCTGAACGCACCGCGACGAACACATGTCTGGCACTCGCGACGTGGAACGTGAGAAAATGAACTACGCTAGGTGATTCCCAAAACGCGGCTTCGGCGTGCGATTAAGCGTCCCGGTTCTAAACACGGTCATCATGTTGGATCCTTGTGCGTGCGTGCAGATCACGAATCGAATCGGTGTCGCGACCAGGAGTCGAACTCAAATTTGAGTTCGGCCTCTGCGGTTTTGACTTTTTTGCGGCTTGGCCAACAGGTGGGTTTCAGCCAAAACGAGATGAGAGGGCCGAGTCCAGGAACTGCGAGGATCTCGGGCCGAAAAGAGCTTTGCAGCAGAAATCAAAGAGAACCTATTTTCCTTTTGACAGAATTTCAGAAACAGTATATAGAACGATTTTAAGCAACACTAACTCAAATAAATTACACTAGGCATGAGTGCAACAAACTTTTGACATCATATAATTCTGTTTAGAAAATAATATTTTCTGAAGAAAAATTCAACCTATTAACATATTGGCAAAATTTTAAAAGGCTGAAAACATTGTTGCTTCATTTTGTTCCACAACCACAACCACATCTCAAAATCCAATTTTTTGGGGGGTGTGACAACATTGACGAATTTGGAGACTTGGCTTACAATGAGGTCTACACATTGGGGTACATCATGGTGGGTCAAGTTAATGTCAAATAGGGAAAGGATCATCAGCCTATTCAGGTTAATGGTTCGTGAAGAAATCACCTTCTTGTTGGTTTGTGTGAGAGAAAATCACTGCTCCAAATTGAAATTTACGATCGTTCGACAAGCCACAACCAAACGAACATGCTGCATGTATCGAAGTTGTCCTACCCCATGCTAAGGTAACGTGTGCTTAACTTGATGCTTACACTTGGTATACTCTATGCGTCATATAGCATTACCATATTTGTAGGACCGCATTGCATGTTTATATTAATTTCTTATTCTTTGCCCATGCTATAGGACTTGCTCCCTAATTGATTTCATAATCAATGTGCTGGTTTTCAACAGGACATTCTTTAATTGGTATCTATTCAAGTGATTCAATCATTTCATGTACACATTTTGGGGGAGCTTTCTCTATGGCTTGCGGTTTTGAGATTAACATGTTTTTAACTTTATCTTATGTAGCCCCTTTAGAATGTGGAGTTAGATGATCATGGTGGTGAGGCGAATATCATCATAACCAACCCATGGAGATTGGATAGGTGCCATAGGAAAAGTTGTGGATGTCGTGTGCTCCTAAGAGTATCAATTGTAACAACTCCGTACCATCCCCTGTGTGTCTTAGAATCTGACTTCGTAGCGTCGAGTCTGAGATATAGGGACACGACGGGGTGCAGTGCGAGGGCATCATCGGAAATAAAAAAAGTAAGATGGAAGATAGATCCCTTCTCTCTTCTCTTTTTAATGTTAGACTAGCACGCGTTGTAGTGGAACGTACAACTTACGTCATCAGTTCCAATGCGTGACTCTACCGATAGCCTAAGCATAGCAGCTACTCGACCTATGCTAGTAGGACTCATAGGTAGGTTTATCTATGCATGTAGTTTCAACCATAAGCCTATAACGTAAATGCACATCACATATATATATCCAGTGATTATTCAAAATAAAGGTTATGCACCAGGCTTGCCTTGGGCAGACGCGGTGTCAACTCAGTCAGTCAGTGGTGGCTCGGGACCTCCTCCTGCACGAGGATCTCCTCCTCGTACTCCTTGAACTCGTGGTCTCCGATGGTCACGATCTCCGCCAACTCGTTCTCTACATGCATGCGATGATGATGCAACACTTAGTATTTTAGCAACAACAGCTCCTAAATTAAGAAAACACATGATAAAGTATTAAGCTAGCTCTAATGACTAAGATAC